CATAATTTTATAGACTTTTTCTCAAATCAATTAGTACTAAGGAAAAATCTCTAAATTTTTGCACTAAACTAGTCTTTCAAGATTATCATGATTTTTAAGAAAATTTTTCAAAAAATATTTTTTAAAATAGAAAAAAAAATCTCAAAATAATTTCTCAAAAATTAACTTTCGAAAATTAAATTAAATATAATCAAACCTCTCAAAAAGGAACTTAATTTCAAATTAATTTTTTTTAAATCAAAAACCAAATCTTAAAAATCTATTTAGAATAAAAATAAATATTTTATATCTTCTTTCACTAATTTTCAAAACTTTAAGATAATATAACTCAAGGCATGATTACGATTCAGCTCATCCAACTATTACATAAACTCTAAGATTTTTTCTTACAATTTCATGACAATTTTTTTTGCATTGACTTCTTTATAATCCGTCACAAATTGAATCCTGCAATAAACTTTTAAAAACTAAACAACCTGCGTAAATAACTTGATTTCACTTGTTTATTATAATCAAAATTAGACAAAATATGTGCCCAATAGACTGGTACCGTTATTTATGTATATGGTGAGCAGTGAGTGGATTGACTCTATCTACTCGTCTTCTAAGATAAGGATAAGGGCCATAAGGCGTGCCAAAAAGAGGGTGACTTTGCTGAACACAATGAGATCTCTTATTAGAGTCCCACAAGAAAAGAAATATAGACTAACATTTAAAATCGACACCATTGAAGTTTAAACACCAATGACGTTTGAACGCCGTGACTATATACCCCACTAGGTTGGCAACAGTCCATATCACCTTTGATGACTAGTGCTATCATGTACACTATTGAACAATAATTTTTGGCTTGGTACAAATGAATTATGAAACAGCAATCATTATTAATGAGATGTTGCAATTTGAATAATATCTTAAAAATAAAGAAGAAGAACAAACAAATATGTCACTTAAGCTACTTGCAGATCAACTTGAATGAAAAGAGATTCACCGACATCAATTGTCAAGTGATACTTAATTCATCAATTTGTCTTAGGAATCATCAATTCCTCCCATGGACTAAAGCGACATGACAGTAGTTTAATTGAAGTCTGATCTGTCGCCACCATTAAGGAGAACATCTTCAATACCAAAGCTGCACTGAGTAGTGGGTATGATGGTAATTTAAAATAAAATTATAAATTATGTATTCTGAAGAATATATAATTATAATTTTTTTTTTTCAGGAAACATATTAGCTGATGTTTTATACTTCTATTGACGAGATATAGATACAAAAATAGTATATTAGATTTTTTCCATGTAAAGGAACATGAATTTTCGTTTAGCTCAAAAGCTTGCCTTTCTAATTTGTCTAAGCGGAGAAAGCATTGTTGTGCATGGTGATCTGACGGGACTTGCCCAATGGCTATTTCGTCCATGAAGTTCCCTAGTTTTGAGTTGAATTTTTTATTATTTTATTTTTTCGTGATTTGATGGAATATATATTTTCGTTCTGCAGCCTTAATAATTTGACAAAATCCTTATCTGACTTTCTACTTTTCTTTGTCATCAATGAATTTCCATTTTCAAATGAAGGCCAAAACAGGCCAAAATTTAATATTTTAAGTTATGTAATATTCTCAGCTAAAAAAAAGTTTGTTATATTTTTTTAAACATATAAAATATTAATTAAGAATATATTAATTAAAAATCAAAAACAAATATGTCATTATTTCAGATTTTATATTTTTACTTCAGTTTTAGTTGCTTTTTGTGTGTACTTGGGGAGAACATACACTTCTCATTAAATATGTGACTGACTACCGATAAGATTTTGATACTTACTTAAGTACCTTGTTGTTATTCTTATTATTATTTTTTATACAAAGTACCTTGTTATTTGATTATATCAAATTCAACTTTCATGCATCTTTTGCATTAAATAAAATGCACCCTAATTAATTTGTTGGAATATAGTTTCTCATGTTGTTATGGGTATTCATTTTTCTTTTGCGTTCATGTACGTCCTAATTTAGAAGCGATTGATTAATAGTGTCTACATTATTAGTTCTCATATTTCACGAGGAATTGTTAACTTTTGAAAGTTACATGCTTTTAAATAATTAAAAAAAAACTGATTTACAAATTTGTTGATAATATTTTAATGACCTATTGATAATATTCATGTAACTGTATTTGCCCTTGCTGCGACCATAATAGCTGATGAAATTTTATTGACTACCCTTGTCAAATTTATTTGAACTGGTCGGGATGCAACTTTCATGGATAAATTATAATATTGTTCTGTTAATGAACTGTATGGCTTTATATATGTACTACAGAAATCGGAAGAATTACCGGAGGAGGTGCTTCTTTGCAAAACTCTTAGGGCCGTTTGGATGGCCTTTTTTTTCTTCAGAAGATGTTTTTTTTTTTTTTTGAAAAAAATCACTTTTCATTTTTTATTCGTTTGGATATCTGCTTCTAAAAAAAGCATAAGTCACAAAAGAAGTCAAAAACCTACTTTTTTCTGAAGCTAAAAATTTTAACTTCTAAAAAAAGCAGAAGTCAAAAGTCAAATATTTTTTTTCAAAATCTAAATATTTTTATAAAAATATAAATAGCTTTAACTTTCGTAAAAAAGACTTCTAAAATAAAGAAGAAATAAAATTTACTTTTTTTTCAAAAGTGCAAATAAATCGGGCTCTTAATCAATTGAGAGATTCTCAGAATCTATGCATAACATTCATAGATTCCATTGAGTGAGTATCTGACTTCAATAATTTTAAGGTGCTAGCTAAACAAATTTTCCAAGCGAAAACAAAGTTTTGATTATCAATCTTACCACTTAACCATAGTTTTTGAGTCTGCCACCTTGGAGTGTGTACTTTTAGCCATCTTGGAATGGTTGAAAGCAGAAACACGGATTGTTAACATGGTAACTGCCGTCAGGCCCAGCTTAAAATAATTATTTTGTGCTACACACTGAAGACAAATTTCTACTACTTTTGAGACTAAGTGCTAGCGTCTCATATATCTATGGTATAACTATTTATATTTTCTAACAATCTATTTATATTTTTTGCAGAACTTGATGGAAGATAAACAAGAGAAGTACCACACTTTAGTGAATATATCAAGCGAGAAATAGAGGCTGATGGACTTGAGGAGTTGTACAAGAAGGTTCATGCTGCAATTCGTGCAGAACCCACAGAAAAGAAATATGAGAAGCAGCCACCAAAGGAACACGACGTCGTTTTGTTAAGGAGATTTGATTTAATGAGATTTGATTTTATTGTATTCATTATGGAGATTTGATTTAATGAGATGTGATTTTATTGTATTGATTAAGGTGATTTGATTGTATTGTATTGATTAAGGAGATTCGATTTTGATTAAGGAGATTTGATTTTGATTATATCATTTTATCAGGTGTAGTATAGAAAATTGGTATTAATTTTGTACAAAGAAATTTTAAAAAATAAATTCTAAATTTTTTTGATGGAATTTGTTTTTTTGTTGAAAATCTTTACATCAGTTTTCGACGGAAATTTATTGATTTTTCGTTGAAAATTTTCGATTGAATTTATTTTCCGTCGAAAAAAATTTCAACAATTTTTGACGGAATTCTTTTGCTTTTCCGTTGAAAATTTTCGACGGAATTTATTTTTCGTCGAAAACTATTTCAACAATTTTCGACGGAATTTATTTCCCATCGAAAACTTTTTCAACAATTTTCGACGAATTCTATTGTTTTTCTGTTGAAAATTTTCGACGTAATTTATTTTCTGGTGAAAACTTTTTCAACAATTTTCGATGAAATTTCATTATTTTTTCGTCGAAATTTTTTGACGGAATTTCATTGATTTTTCGTCGAAAATTGTCGACGGAATCTCTAAATCCGTCGCAAAAGTTGTTAGCAACTAAGAGATACACCTCCACTTAATCTCCGTCGAAAATTCCGTCTAGATCTTTATTTTCAATAGAATTTTAACCATTTTTAATGAAATTTTTCCGTAAAAAAAAAAGACTTTTTTAGTAGTGATAACCAACATACTGTGACTTTTCCCAAATTTGGGAAATCTTCGTCTTGTAACATTGAATTTCTCGTTAGAGTCGGAAATCAATTACTGGGATAGAAAATTTTATGATGGGACAAAATTATTATACAATTTTCTTTATAATTTAAAACTATTTATTTAATTAAATAAAATAATAAAAATATTCACAAATTAAAGGCTTCAATAAAAATTTTTAGGGGGAAAATTATTATCTATACGTCTAAAAATCAGAAATTATGCTTAAAACTAAAGACTTAAATGAAATCCTAAAAAAAAAAGAGACTTAAATTAACTTTAAGGAATGATAACGCACTCTAATTCTCTCTCACTCTACCAACGTTATATATATATATATATATATATATATATATATATATATATATATATATATATACTCCCATATCCTCTTAGTTTAACATAAGAAGGACGGAAAGCAAATTGAGTGAACTACTTTAATATAAGAAGGACAGAAAGCAAATCAAGTGAATTATAAACCAAACTACAGAGACTCATATCTAAACCCGGGACCAGACCAATAAAATTCAAAAAGAAAAAGGATAATACATTAAAAAGGAAAGTAAAAAGTGATAGCCGCCATAGCGAGCATATCTTCGATGCTATTGTAGTATGTACTCTTTTACTAAAAGTAGAAAATAGTGATAATTTTGAAAAAAAATAACCATACAAGGAAGAATAAAATAATATAAAAAAATATTATATTTTTTAAATTGACTAAATGATGCACCGAGTCTTCAGTACTACTGTAGTGAAGATATTTCCCGCCATAGCGTTCACTGAATTGGATTGCTAAACATAGTCGTAGGGTTGGTAAACATAGACTTATAATTAAAGTCACATTTTGCAAATCCAAATGGCCGACAAGTTTTAGTAAGTACACATGCGTCTCTATATAAAGACGCCACGTAAGTAGGACTCAGTCTCAGTCACAAGTCCTAGTATACTTTGCTTTGGGCTAGCTATAGTTTGGACCATGGCTTCCTTCTTCGCAACAAGCAACGGTGCATTAATGGCTTCTCTACTATTCCTGTTGGCACTCTTTACTGTAAATCTTCGCATGACTGGTGAGTGGTAGTTTCTATTTCCATTTTAGTTATGAACAATTACATCAGTTCCTTCACCACATAAACGAGGATCTATATATGTTAAATAAATTAAAAACTATTAAAAAGGCTTTATTTATCGGATTAAGTTTTAGATTGAATTTACGTTTTATATGATATTAAAACCTTCGTAATTATGGATAATCTGCCTCAATTCTATTAAATAAATAATTAAATCTTATAGAATTTTTTAGCACATGCATAATGTATTATCAGTCCTTCAAACCAAATAAACTCTTGTATAAGAAAATGTCCTAGATAAATATAAAAATTATTAGTTTTTTTTTTCTTTTCTATTCAACTGCTTATAGTTTGGATTTATTATCTGAGGAGGGATATTCTTACTACCAAAATTTTCTACTACCAATTTACTACTTATCTAATCACCATTAGATCAATATTTTCTCTTTTTTCAAATTTTTTTTAGCATTCTCTCTCTTTGATTCAATGTTGATTAGATAGGTAGTAAGTTGGTAGTAAAAAATTTTAGTAGTAAGAATATTCTCCCTATTATTTTATGGTATATCTATTATATATCTTTTGGCAAGCAGGTGCTCAAATAGGTGTTTGTTATGGCATGAGTGGCAACAATCTACCATCACCTCGTGAAGTAATAGATCTTTATAAAGCAAATAACATAAGGAGAATGAGACTCTATGATCCAAACCAAGCTACACTAGAAGCGCTTAGGAACTCCGGTATTGAGCTGATGTTGGGAGTGCCCAATTCAGACCTTCAAAGCCTTGCTACCAGCGCAGATAAAGCAGGTCAATGGGTACAAAACAATGTGTTGAACTTCTATCCCAGTGTCAATATCAAATACGTTGCAGTTGGCAACGAAGTAAGTCCCGTTGGAAGCACTTCAGGGTTAGCTCAGTTTGTTCTTCCAGCCATTCAAAATATATATCAAGCTATAAGAGCTAAGGGTCTTCATGATCAAATTAAGGTTTCAACGGCTATTGATATGACCTTAATAGGAAACTCCTATCCCCCATCAAAGGGGTCCTTCAGAAATGATGTGAGGTCATACTTGGATCCAATAATAGGTTACTTGGTGTATGCAAATGCACCCTTATTCGCAAATATTTACCCTTATTTTAGCTATTCTGATAACCCAGGTGACATTTCTCTTCCTTATGCATTGTTCACTGCCCCAAATGTTGTGGTTTGGGATGGTTCAAGGGGATACCAAAATCTATTTGATGCTTTGTTGGATTCACTGCATGCGTCAATTGATAACACTGGGATTGGGTATGTGAAGGTTGTTGTGTCAGAGAGTGGATGGCCTTCAGATGGTGGCTTCGCTACTTCCTATGACAATGCACGCATTTACCTTGAGAATTTGATTCGCCACGTGAAAGATGGAACTCCAATGAGGTCTGGTCCTATAGAGGCTTACATCTTTGCATTGTTTGATGAGAATCAGAAGAACCCAGAGCTAGAGAAACATTTTGGTGTCTTTTATCCCAACAAACAGAAGAAGTATCCATTTGGTTTTGGAGGAGAAAGGAACTGGGAAATTGCTGCTGGAGTGTTTAATGTGTCAGTTCCTCTGAAGAGCGACATCTAATGATGTAATCAGGGTTGCTCTATATGTCTATGTGAAATAAAACGGTTTTCTTGTGTTTATCTTTAGTATATACACTAAATCCACCGCCTAGTATAAAATATGGGATAGATATTTTGACACCGCATAGATATTTTGACATCGCCCAAACTTTGAAATTTGATACTAAATTTATTGATTTTCGTCGATATTATCATTTATTGAGAATTAGTAATTAGTTATTAAGTTTGATTCTCAATAAATAACAACCTTTGATCGAATAAAATTAATGGTTAAAATTTGATGTCAAATTTTAAAATCTGATATCGATGTCAAAAAATTTTTGCCCCATAAAATATATTAATGTTATCATAATTCAAAAACTAGTTTTCACTTTTTTTTAAGACGATTAATTTTGTAGTTTGACTCAATGTTATTAAACTCGGCCCGGTTATTGACTCGGTCGAGGTACTGGGTCATTGATTCAACCAGTGGGTCACTTGTAAGAACCTGCACCGTTAATTAAGGAAATTAATCAATTAATTATGATTTTAATGAGATAATTCCATAATTGACCCTAATAATTATTATGAGGCTCTAATAATTATAGCAAGTGAGTAATAATGTTGAAATTCGCTTTTTGGACGAAAAGTGCAGATACCGGTTCTGCTAGTCGGTATAAATGCGTACCGAAAAAGTATCCCGGAAAATTATAATAAGTACATGATAATTACTATAGTAATATGTAGGACTTGTAAAACGAGTTTCAAGTTAAAATAATGAGAACTGATGCCAGAAACTGATACTGGCTATGAAAAGCGCGTACCGGAAAGGTGCTGCGAAAAATATGAGAAAAATATGATAATTCTTGTAAAATTGAGTAGGTTAAGAATCTTGAGTTTGGGGTTAAAATGCTAAGCGTAGCTATTAAAGTTAATACAGTGTGTTTAAGGCTTAAGTGGGCTTTATATACAACATTTCTGGCTCAAAACCCTAGGCATATCAGTTGTACGTGAGTTTTTGGGTGGCTGGTCAGCTGGTGCTTGGGTGCATGGCCTTTCTTCTCCATTTTTGAGACAAGTTGTCATCTTTCACTTGGTTTCTTCCTCTTTTCTTGGTAAACACTTGAGGGCTATCATTGTGAGGGTGTGAGAGTGCATCTTCTGAGTTGTTGGCCACTGTGTGAGGTCAGTTTGAGTGCTGAGTTTGGAGTTTGGGTGAGAGCCATCTTGTTCTTGGCTTGTGAAGCTTCAAGAAGCTTCCTTTGTGTTGAAAGGCCCACGCTTGTGTTGTCTTTTTCGTATTCCTTGGTAGTCTGAACCTTGGAGGCAGTTTGAAGAGCTCCAAGAGCCTTTGCTTCTCTGTTTTGAGCTTTGGTAATTTTTACCAACCTTGATTATGAGTTTTAATGGCTTAAAGGTGATGTCTTTGCATGTAAATGGGTTAGCAAGTAACCAACTGGTTTGTGGACCTAAAACAGATTTAAAATGCATGTTGTAACGTGTATAAGTGTTAAAAATGGTACCTTGGATGGATATCTTCGCGAATGCAGAAGCTGCTGTCTGTCGCAAAATATCTGGATATGTGTATCCGGATATTGGTATCCGGATATTGATATCCAGATATGGGGTCTTTGATCTCCGAATATGGATATTCGGATATTGATATCGGGATATGTCCCTAACGAATATCCGAATATTCTGGGTTTGCGTGGAACAATAGCGTACTATTCATCCATAACTGATGTTTGAGGATTTGTGGACCCTAAATTTAGGAAGTTGAACTTCTGTAATTATTGAACTAAGTCAGAATCAATGGATTAAGGGCTTATGGCTTGGTGAGAAGCCTTAAGACGTAAAACGTAAGAAAGACGTTGTCTTTATGATGTATGCTTGTAGTGCAAGTTTATTGATTTATTTTTGGTCTATATCAGATTGTGATTCTGCTGTGTTTGGACTTTGAGGATTGGTTGGACCCTTGGCTTGAAGTGTTAGATCGCAAGGTAAGCTTTCGTGTCCTCGGTTTAGCCATGTTGTGGTTCCACCATGTCCCATGGGGGTATGGTTATATCCATGCTGTGTTACATGCTTTGGATATTTTGAAATGCTTTTGAGCTGGTATGTGCAATGACTTATAATATGTGTGTGTTGTTTCCACTTAGTCGGTAAGCCTGAGTATGTAGAGTCATACAAGATGGTGAGTCCATGGGTGGGTGCATGTAGCGTCTTGCATATTGTGTGGGTAATAGACGTATTCCTGCATTTCTCTGATCAGTAGAATAGTATTGACACACGTGACATGATTATCTGCTGCATTGCACTGTTTTAGAAATGATATTGATGAACTGCTTTTGAACTTATATTGCACATGTAAGTGAGCTTGGGGTGGAAGATCCTTGAGGACCCCTTGCCTTAATAAGATTTCTTGTTTAGAGATCTCACCCCACGTTAGGGGAATGCTTATTTCAGGTTCAGGTAGTATGGGGACTGATGCCTCTGGCGGCAGGAGGCCATAGCTTAGTTGATGTTTAGTGCTGTTCACATTATGCTGGCATGACTGGATTGGATGCTGTTTATGTTTTCTGTCATTTATGATTATTGAGTTGAGACTTATGTTGGGCTTTGTTGCCTTATTTGGGTGAGCATGGGAGTTGTCCATGCCACTATGTTGTTAGTACTTTTGAGTTGAGTTGTATAAACTACTAGTTGTTCGGTCTACGTGTGGTAGTTCTGTGACTAGAGACATACTTACGTTATTTAATTAATGAGGTATTTCAGTTAGCTGTTTATTGCAATGTACATACAGGCGATGTTTTGAAAATGGTTAAGTAATCAAGTTGGTAATGATTAATGGCATCATAATTGAAAAGAAAAAGATATTACGCAATTTTAATTAAGCGCAGCTTAATACGATAACATGATAACATTACCAGATATATACGGGGTGTTACATCACTGGTTCAACCGCATGACCCTATAAGTATTTGTAAATCTATAATTTATATTAAAAAAACTATAAATATACTTAAATACTTGTAAAAAAATATACCAATTTCAAATATTTTAATATGAAAATAATAAATTACACATCATTGTCCAACAAAAGATCAATCAAACATATAATATTTGTGATACTAGTGTTTCAGGTTCAGTAAACGACATCTCTAACTATAAATCAAATCAAAATTCCCTACATATTGCATAATCAAGATAATTTTAGTGTTGCAGGTACATAATATATGTAAGTTAATAAGCTACAAATCACTCAAATATTTCAAAAGAAAACAAATCATTTGTGTTTGAGAGTAAAAAAAATTAAGACATTAATTTACGAAAATAAATTAGTTTTTTTTATAGACCGGGCCGGGTCACCGGTTTTTACGAAAATTGGCCGGGCCGCACCGATTCTGTATCATGGCCGGTCCAATATGAAAACCAGACCGGTTACATGACCGGTTCACCGATTTCCGGGTCGGTCCATTTTTTATAACATTGGTTTGACTTCATATTGTCTTGTTGTATACTTTTTTTTTTTAAATGATACTCCTTAACATTGATTCCCATCACGTAAAACTTGGAATAAAATATTTTCTAAAAAACATATTAAAGTGGAGAGCTAAAATGAATATATATATATATATATATATATGGATGGAATTATTTGACTCCAAATTCTAATCGTAGATTTTCGTCAATCAACGATTATCATTTATTGGGAATTAATAATTAATTAATAAGTTTGATTGGCGAAAATTATAACCGTTGATTGACGAAAATCAACAATTATGATTTGGTGTCAAATTTCAAAGTTTGACATCGGTGTCAAAGGATCCTGCACCATATATATATATATATATATATATATATATATATATATATATATATAAGCTTTTTTCTGCAGTCAAGGTATTTTTATAATTATAATTTATTTCAGGGTTATAATAATCTTTTTCATTATAACTTTTTAATATTTCAACACAAAACGACATCATTTTGGAGTGACTGTAGTTAATTTAGCTACATTCACTGTAGAAACATTAAAGCCTATATATATATATATATATATATATATATATATATATATATATATATATATATATATATATATATATATATATATATATATATAGGGATAGGATACTTTGATACCAGTGTCAACTTTTAAAATTTGACACCAAATCCTAAGCGTTGATTTTCTCAATAAACGGTTATTATTTAATGGGAATCAAACTTATTAACTAATTATTAATTTTCAATAAATGATAATCGTTGATTGTCGAAAATCAACGGTTAGGATTTGATGTCAAATTTCAAAATCTGACACAGTTGTCAAAGGATCCTGCCCCATATATATATATATATATATATATATATATATATATATATATATATATCCTTAGCTTTGACATGTTTGACTACGTCAGTATGAACATCAGTCCAGGGAGAAGGGTCTTTCTTAAGACGATTATGGAGAGGCTTGATTAGATTATTAAGCTGAGGAAAGAAGTCAGCTACATAATTTAAACAACCAAGAAATCTTTGTAATTGAGTTTTATCAATAATTTGATTGGGAAATTTGTCAGCAAATTCAATAGCTCTACAAATTGGAGTAATAGACCCTTGATAAATAGTATGACCGAGGAACCTTATATATATATATATGTAGAGAGAGAGAGGAAGGATCCTTTGACACCAGTGTCAAATTTAAAGTTTGATGTAAGAACTCGCACTGTTAATTAAGGAAGTTAATTAATTAATTATGTGAAATTAGGAAATAATTCCATAATTGACCCTAATAATTATTATGAGGCTTTAATAATTATAGTAAGTGATTAAGAATGCTGAAAGTCGCTTTTCGGAAGAAAAGTGCAGATACCGGTTCTGCTAGTCGGTATAAATGTGTATCGAAAAAGTATCCCGGAAAATTATAATAAGTGCATGATAATTACTAGAATGATATGTAGGACTTGTAAAACGAGTTTCAAGTCAAAATAATGAGAACTTGTGCCGGAAACTGGTACTGGCTATGAAAAGCGCGTACCAGAAAAGTGCTCCGAAAATTATAAGAAAAATATGTTAATTCTTGTAAAATTGAGTAGG